CAAGGAGACAGTTACACAAAGTTTCTCTTTTTGCTCAGTAAAACCCAAGAAGGTGCTTTTTGAATTGAAGTTCCCACACGAGGCTTGGCAGGACAGACTTAAAGATCCTGAGAGCGATAAATACAACCTTTTCACTGAAAAACTGACTGAGAAGGTAAGAATTTGCTTGAAACTCTACACAAGTTATAATGGTCATTACAAGTTTATTCCACTTGTTTTCTTTCAAATTAAATTTTTCGCAAAGCTTTTTTTCTTTCAAATTGAATTTTTCGGAAAAAATTTTACTGGCGAGAATTTCATTCGTATTTCATCCTTTCTTTCAGTTCTCATCTCTGTTTATTGAGACTCCTTACTTCACTGGGATAAAAGTTCACAATTTTAGGTTGGTGATTTGCAGTTCTTATGATTTAAACAAGTAAAGTAGAAAGAAAAAATTTTCAAGAAGCACATAATGAAATAAATAATTATATTTTGTGTTTTCCTTTCTTAGAGCTGGAAGTGTCATCGCAAATCTAACCCTGTCATTCGATACGCTTTCGTACGACGTCATACTCTTGATAGAAGAAGCTTTATTTACCAATAAGTCTCTGGGAAACATGGCGATCGAGTGTGAGGCAATTCGCTTTGTGAATGGTATGAAATGATTTGAACAGACTTACAGTTCGAAAAAGAACTGTGTCAAATTAACGATTGGTTGATTAATGATATACGTATCAGTATTGGTTAGTTTATTATGTGATAGCGTTTGCTACAAGATTGGCCTCATATGGTTTATTTTCTTAAAACAGGGTATTTTGAGACGCAATAAGAACAAGATTGTCCTCCTAATAATTTTTTTTAACTAGATGTATTTTTCGTTCTACCCTGAGGCTGACGCATCCTGGCTACCGATAGGTGCATTAAGATTACTAATTAACAAAGTCACGTGCGAGAAACGCGTGAGTGGAGCCCCATATCTAAGGAAATAAGGCTCCTTTCCTGCGGAGAAAATGTTTCTTTTCGTGTGAAAACTGTCCTTTTGTAATTTCCATTAGTGACAAGTTATACCACGAATACAACACTGTGAAAAAGCATAGCAATGAAAATATAGAACAATGAAAATGCGAAGCAAACGGTGGTAATAAACAATGTGGTCCAATGCATGTTTAAGGAAAATTGAATTTCCGTATGACAAACAACCTAGATTTCGTAACCTAACTTACACGATGTTCTGAAAAAGTGTTTACATCTGAAAATTAATTTTACAAAAGCTTTTCTCTTTTAGTTCCAGACGGAAACGTCAGAATCATTGATGCACATGCCCCAAATAGCACCTGTGTAAGTGTGACCTGGACCGGATTGCCTGAGGAAAAATCTCAGGGAGCACTACAAGGCTATAAGATTCTTTACAAGGCGACCAGTGTTGAGTCGCCTTACAAGGCATTCGTCACGTATGGTGCTGTTACGAGTGTTTTGATTAAGGACCTGAGGCCAAGCACGCAATACATCCTTATGGTCTTTGCCTTCAATGTGTATGGCGATGGGCGCCATAGTCAACCAGTCAACGTCACGACACAAGGTAACAGTGCCTTGATGTTTACGGGACGAGGGAGCTTCGTGTATCAAGCTGCGTGGAGCCTTTGGGGATGGGGAAGGGGAGTCATCTTTACTATATTAATTTCTTCCTTCTTTTTTATGTTTCTCCAACCTTAGCTTCGAATTAAAATAATAGATCGAACAATAGTAATAGAGATTTCTTGGCAGTAATGGGCTACCAGATGACAAATTGATCTTTATAAAAGAGATGAGGGAAAATGGAACTCTAACATACATCCAAAGCAATAGATACGTTTCCTGTTCAAATAGTGATTCTCAAGAGATTAAATTGATATTCAATGTGGACTTATCTTTTGTGATGAAAGACTTCATACATACACTCCAAGTTATTTATTGTGATAATATATATTTCACTTTTCTTTTTTCCTGAAATTCCTTGAAAGTTTTGTCTTTTCCATTTTTTCTGCGAAGAGCAACGCCTTGAAGTCTATGGTCACAACATAAGCAGCAATGCTATAAAAGTCTTTTGGAACTCGGTATCTCGCGACTTTCTTGGCTTTATCGTAAGGTATTGGGCAATAACTGATGGCGAAGTCACAGCTGTTTTAAGGCAAGTCACCAAGACAACGAACAGTATTCAGCTTGAGGGCCTGGAGGCATTTACAGTGTATGTGGTGCAAGTAAAAGTTGTCGGGATGAATGGCACAGCAGGTCACATTTGGGGACAGGCAAAGATTTCAACAGATGAAGCAGGTATGCTTATGTGTACAAACGGTATCTGGAGTTTGCCCGATAGCAAGTTCGCCCCTACCTCGAAAATTTCACCCCATGCAATATAAAATGGACCACGCCACCTGCATTAAAAGGAGCACGTACTTTCGTATAGAAGTTAGGGGAAATCTTCTTTGGGTAAATTGGTAAACGGTGGGCAAAACCTGTAATAATTGATATATTAACATTATACCTTTTATCTTTACTTGAACACAATAAATATCAACTAAAACAGTTACCACAGTTTTAAGACAAGAACGAAATTAAAGACTGAAGAGAACTAGTTATCAAGCCTCTTACATCGAAGAAGCCGACAGGGGCCCACACAGGCCAACAAGCCACAATGTTTTAAAACAAAATGGTAAATTACTATAATTAATACCAGTATCTGCACACAAAAAAAGTGTTCCAAAAGTCTTAAATTTTCCATAATAAGCTAGTTGGGTTTTTCTTTTCAGTTCCTTCTGCTGGTCCAAAAATAACTGCGGTGCATAACACAAGTTCCACGTCAATATTTATAAAGTGGAAACCGATACCCAAAGACAAAACTCGGGGAATTCTTTTAGGATACAAACTTGCGTTTGCTGAGGCGGGATCACAACGTCCAACATTTTTAACGGCAAGTTCAAACGCCACTTCTGCCGAAGCAATTGACCTAGAAAAGTTCTCTATATATGTGATTGTTATACAAGGATATACAAGGAGGGGGACTGGAATTGCCTCTTATGTGCGGTCTAACACAGGCGAAGACGGTAAATCGATTTTTTTTTTGATATTACAATAGTACTAGCATTTCTCCTATCTCTTAAACTTTACTTAAGTTGAATCTATTTACCTTGTGGTCATGGTAATCTGATAAATTAACGTTAACGTTTGGGATATCCAGATAATCATTTGCCGTTTACTTTTTCGTTTCCCAGTTCCGAGCCGCCCGCCAGGAAATGTAACCGCCTTTGCTAATGGCACGGGAGTTATACGAGTGACCTGGATACCAGTAGAGGCAGAGTTTGTTCATGGCATTCTGCGGGGTTATAAGGTTCGCTTCAAAGAGCTTGCGCAAACGAGTGCTCTTGATTGGATTACGGAAACTGTTGGCAGCAGCGTAAATTATATCGAGCTCAGTGGGTTAAAGCCTCAAACAACATATGAAGTGCAAGTGTCAGCGTTTACTATTAGAGATGGAAATTATAGTGAGAGCGTAATTGCCACCACACTTAAAGGGCGTAAGTAAACGTCTCTAACCATTCAAAACCTCTTGCGTAAAGATTTCAATGTGGCCAAACTATTGACGTCGTTCGTAAACCACAAAATCCGTTTCACGATAGAACAGTTGAGTATTTTGGGGCACAGGCTGAGGTGTGAGTAAGTGAGTAAATAATTTTTCCTAAAAACACTTTTAAGGTAAAAACAAGCAACCTTCCTTAATTCAAGAAAACGCGAGTGACCTAGTTGCGTTTGGTTTTAGTTTTGAACCTGATTGGTTGAGAAACTGGCGCGAGTTTTCTGGACCATGCGAAGTATAGAAAACTAAAGAAATCCCATAATACTTCTCGACACTCCTTTGAAATTTACTCCAATGAACCTTTTTTATTCCATCGCTTTGAGAAGACGTTGACCATCATCATTTTCATCCTCAGCCCTCTCTCATCCGCAAAACGTGACAGCACATTCAACAAGTCCCACATCCATAACAGTGAACTGGAACCGGGTAATTGTGGCTGAGGTTATAAATGCGAGCTTGTGTTATCTTGTCCAGTGGACAGAAGACGGAAACGGAGTTGAAAGGAATGCCACTGCTAATACCACCTCATACGTGATTACAGACCTCAGAATGGCAACTGAATATAACGTTTGTGTGGCTACTGTCCACAATGCAGTTATCAGTGAATTCAGCAGTAAAGTACTCGTCCGCACCCAAGATCTGCAAGGTAAGCTGGATAGATGTTTAAATCCAGTAGGCGTGAGGGGAAAAAATGAAATTACATCCCAAACCTCGTTAAAAAAACGCGCATTAGAACCAGGAAAAAGATTAAGAGGAGCTGCATATATAGTGCAACCCTCAACATCCAACTGAGATTTGCGTCATCACCTTCGTTTCTTTCCTCTTTAGTACCCAGCTCTCCACCAGAAAACGTTTTCGTACGAACAACCAACCACTCAGACCTTCAAATAACCTGGTCACGTGTCCCTTCCAGTGCCGCTCACAGCGTTGTAATAGGTTATCACGTGCGAGTGGCCCGAGAAAATGGCAAAGAAATCGCGATTGCGACGTGCCCATTTCGTGCGAACACAAGTTTGTCAAACCTGACTGTGTACCAGAATTATTGTGTTGCTGTGGCAGCATTTAGCAGGAGGGGAATTGGACCGGTATCCCTGAGGAAGTGTGCTGTCGTGGACGACGGAGGTATTCCAACGTTTTTTTTAATCTTTGTATTTTCGAATTTCTCTGTATAAGCTTTATTTTCTCCAGGGAAATTTTACAATAATTATTTACATTTCTTTTAAGATTATTGCAGATTTCACATGGTCAGATAAGTTTGCCATTCAAAAATTGAATTTGATTTTTTCGGTGTTTCAAAATTTCTCTTTGGTAGCTTTTATCAAGAGCTATTGGCTTCGGTGCGAAACACGAAAAATAAACAGTTTGAAGAGTTAGCAAATCCACATCAAATTCCTTCGCTGTTTAGCCATCTAATCGTATATGCTTAATTGTTGAATTCTTATTTTTGCTTTTCAGCTATTTGTCCCCCTCCCCAGCAGCTAATTGTGAGAAACGTAACTGCAACCAATGCTTCTCTTAAATTGGTTTACGACGGAGCGTGCGTAAATGCTAGCTTTGTCACTGGCTATAGAGTGACGTACTCGAGCAGTGCGAACCGCTCGCAGCTGGAGATTCCGGATGCGAGGTCTACTTCCGTATTTCTTCAAAATCTAATGCCAAACACAACATACCAAGTTGAAATAATGGTGTTAACTTTAAATGGCAAAGACAGTGTTCCTTCTGAGCCTATGCAGTTCATCACAAAAGAGAGCAGTGAGTAGATTTTACACTCTTTGAGTAATCGTAATGAAAGCGTTCTTTAACCAGGCTTTTGGTTCCTTACCTTATTTTGGTGAAGGTTTATTCCAGTGCTTTATTACTAAGTGTCGAATGTATGCTTAGATAATGTAATTCTTCTCTTCCTTTCAAGCTCCTTGTCCCCCTCCGTGGCAGCTTGTTGTACGAAACGTCACCGCTACCAATGCCTATATTGAATGGCTTTATGACAGAGCATGCACAAATGCTGGCTTTGTTACTGGCTATAGAATGACGTACTCTAGTGGTGTGAACCGCTCGCAGCTGGAGATCCCGGATGCGATGTCTACTTCCGTATCTCTTCAAAATCTAACGCCAAACACAACATACCAAGTTGAAATCATGATTGTAACTTCGAATGGCAAAGACAGTGTTCCTTCTGAACCTGTGCAGTTCATCACTAAAGAGAGCAGTGAGTAGATTTTGCACTCTTTGAAGAATCGCAATGAGAACGTTCTTCAACTAATTTTTGAACTCCTTAGCCTATTCAATAGTTCAGTGAAGGTTTATTCCAGTGCTTTAACACTGAGTGTCAAATGTGTGCCTAGATAATATGATCATCTCTTCTTTTCAAGCTGCTTGTCCACCTCCCCGGCAGCTTGTTGTGCGAAACGTCACTGCTACCAATGCCTATATTGAATGGCTTAATGACGGATCATGCGCAAATGCTGGCTTTGTCACTGGCTATAGAGTGATGTACTCGAGCAGTGTGAACCGCTCGCAGCTGGAGATCCCGGATGCG